ACCACGTGTCCGACGTAGTCAAGCCTCTGGACCACGTACGGGTTGTGTAGAGCGGCCGTCGGTCGTTCGCCATCACGACGGTGTTCCATTCCTTCGCCGATCGTCACGAGGCTGCTGTCCCCACTGATCATTGCCCCAGTCGCCTTGAGGAGGTAGAGCGACCAGTCGCCCGTCGGAGCCGGACCCGGAACTCTCTGAGGGAGCCCGAACTGGGGCGGCCGACTGGAGCTGTCAGCAGCCGCTGAAGAGCGAGCCGCCGAGATAGGCGGGAACGAAGCCATGGCCCGAATGGGTGGAGATCTAACTTCCCACGCCGAGTTCGAAAATCCGGGCCGATCGGCTGATCGCCAAAATGGCCACGGATTTGAACAATCATGAAAGCAGTTCCTGCGATCGCGAGACTGACCTCCTGATTCCAGACCTACCTCGCCGATAATTAGGAGAAATATATGTTTTTGTATATAGACGGTCGTATAGTGCGGTTATAGGGTTTCATTTCTTTGGGGTCTTGTGGGTGTCGGGTCTCGCGAGGACTACATGTCCAAGCTGGGCACTCTAATGGCTTGCTGCTGTCGTGGTGTTCAGAGGGAGGAGGCGAGCCACAAGCTGAATTTGAAGATGAGGCTTGCACTTCACCTCGAGTGGCAGAAGCTTGGGCGATGACCATGTCACTGCCCCGTGCCTTTCTTGGTGTTTTATACACCGAGTTATAGGGCACAGGGTCGGCTTGACAGATGTGAGATGCTTTTTCAAGGGCAGGTTCGGCTTGACGGATGAAATCTTGCGACTTCTCAACGACGAGAGGGTGGTGACGCATCTCACTGCCCTGTCCCCCTTTCTTGGTGTTACACCGAGTTATAGGGCAGGGGAGAGGCTCTGTGCAGTCTTGTCCCTTTCTTGGTGTTACACCGAGTTAGGGGCTTCTGGGTGATGATCCTGTGCAGTGTGTGAGTTGAAAAGAGTGTGTGTCCTGTGTGGCAAAAACAGATTCCGCGAGCCAGATACAGAGATCGAGTCCGAATGCGAGGGAAGCCACCAACCCTAAACCCTACAGACCCTTTACCCTAAACCCCACTTAGTCGTCATGTGTCTGTCAGCTATCAAGCTCTTCGAGTCCGAATGAGAGGGAAACCACCAACCCCAAACCCTACAGACCTTTTACCCTAAACCACACTTTTAGTCGACATGTGTGTCTGTCAACTATCAAAAGCTCGATATGCACTTTTAGTCGTCATGTGTGTCTGTCAGCTATCAACAGCTCGATATATAGCCGTGTTCATATTCATATCTCGCTGCCGTGTCGGTGGCGACCGACCCCGCAGCAGAGGCCCAGCACCAAGCGGCCGAGTACCAACAGTGCCTGAGTTGGATCAAGAAGCAGTCAAGCGAGTTTCGTTCTCTTCTCGTGAAAGACTTGGCGGAGTGGGAGCGGCAGCTGCAAAGCGAAAGCGAGAGCAGTGACCTCCAGACCTTGGAGGGCCGGATCCTTCGCACACTGTGCGGAGAAGTGACTGAGTACATGATGCCAGAGGGTGGAGTCTCTGGAAGTTTCAGATTCAGAACTCCCGATGGTCAGCTTCATTCCAATCGTCCAGGGGTGTCGCATTATGATGTGAAGATGCCGGGGGGAAGGGCCTGGTACTTCGTGGCATGCAAATCGTGTGACAGATGTGTCGTGACCTTTCCTGACACCGGTGGCTCCTGGGCAAAGGCACTTGGTGCTTTGGGATGGCACAAACCGAAGAAGTGGGCGAGGGCCTTTTGTCCGGAATGTGCCGGAAGGTAGGCAGCATCGGAGCCCTGGCCCTTTCTTGGTGTTACACCGAGTTAGGTGTCAGAGGCAGTATAGGCAGCCTCGCAGCCCCTGTCCCTTTCTTGGTGTTACACCGAGTTAAGGGCAGGGTGCAGTTTTGTCTCCCTTTCTTGGTGTTATACACCGAGAGTTATAGGGGCTTCTGGGTGATGATCCTGCGCAGTGTGTGAGTTGAAAAGAGTGTGTGCCTGCGAGCCCTGTGTGATCGTCTGGCAAAGCTACACCTACATTCCGACAGCCGCACAGATTTGTCGACAGAAAAAAGTAAGTGCAGCTACGAAGTTCCTGCCTGCGAGAGAGAGAGAGAGAGACAGCGAGAGAGTCTTGTGCTTTCTGACTTGTGGTCCCTACCCATGCAGAACTGCAGAACATGCAAGACACCGTTGGCCGGGTGTCGGGACTGAAGTGCCATACGTTCCTGCTTCGGGCCAACCCACTTCGGTGGATGACAGCAGAGCACATGGGCTAAGGCGTCTGCTGGGCAGGATCCTGTGCTCACCCGTGTCGACGATCCTCTCCCCCTGACCGTGCGGCCGGCGGTCACATAGGGGTGCATGCTTGCCGAGCGGGGACAGCGCCAGTGCTCTGGCGCCCACTTGGGGTGGAAGGGCGAGGGCTGCACAGTGCCTTCAGATTGCAGGGGAGGCCCTTTGCATGACATTGTAGTTGGCACGATGCGGTTGTTTTCACTGTTTCGTGTGTCTGTTTCGGCCCCGTGTTGTGGGAAACACATGGACGCAAAGGAAAACAACGGCACTTTGTGCCGGTAACCTCGGTTTAAAATCTATCCAAACACAGTGGAATTCATAGATTTTAAGTGTATAAATTACACTTTTTAGGTATATAAATTACACCCCAGGGGTGTAATTTACACGCCAAAATTTACACGTAAAAGTGTAAATTTTCAGTACAAATTTACACTACAAAAGCGTGTAAAAATTGAAAAATGTAAAATGTAAATTTACACGCGAAAGATCTATCAGGTTTGTCTTTAGGGCGATGGTCGAGTGCGCGCGATGCTAGAGGGCCCTGCAGCTTAGGGACGGTGGGAGTGGCATGGGCAGCGGCCTCCGCCCCGGCATTGTCTAGTTTTTCCAGGCGGCAAAGTGAGGGCCTGCTGCCAGCAGGTACGAGTCAGGGCCCGAGGGTGCCGAGGGACTATGCCCGTAGAAAAGAACCCCTGCGGCTCGTCAAGCTCGAAAGTGCGCGGTAAGCGCAACCAGGGAACGCCTGCGTCATCGGGTGGGCGAAGAAGCGAATCCGCTCAAAGCTGGGCGCTTCCTCCCCCATCTCCATCTGACGTCGCAGCTCCCTGTCGAGTTGCCCAAGCTCCCGCGCCCACAACTCTTCCCAGACTCCCATGACTCACTGCAAGGGCCACGCGTACACAGCCTATTCCCCAAGCTTCAAAAGCTTGGTCGCCGCCCCTTCGAACACTGCATAGTGTTCGGCGCCGTACACGCGGGAGATTGCCCAAGCCATCCGCAGTGCCGCGCGGAACCACGCCGTGAGAGTAGTCGGGTGCCGCCCCTTCTTCTCCAGGCGATGGTCACTCGGGTGGACGAAAGAGTCAAAATCCTCATCAGACGTCAGCGGGAAATCCGCAGCGGAAATTGCGTGCGTAGGCCAACCGGTTCGTGACGTTGACCGGAAACTGCAAAGCCCGCATCTGAGGACGCCCCTCGGCCCCGGCCGTCTTGAGCGCGTGGAAGAGCTCTTTTCCGACCGTGGCTTGGCAAACCGAGACAGTCAAGGCATCACACCCCCGGAAGAGATGGACAAGCCTTTCGTCCGTTTTCCGGATCGAACCCAGCTTGCCCTTCTCACAGCCCGTCGACTCGTCTTTGCTAAGGACCGCCTTCGCGATCGCCTGCAGTGCTTTCGTCGCGTCGTTGGTGGTCCGAAGCTCAGGGTCGGTGAAAGCCCCTGCCCTCATGGGGCGAAAGGCGCTGGCAAACCCCGCAGGTAAGGTCGAGAAGCTTGAGGCAGCTCCTTCAGGGGGAACCGCGCCAGCCGCGAAGCTGCCCGACGGCCGAAAGAAGAGAGCCGGGTTGACCCCTGCGTGCTGCCCAGGCCGTGCGACTCCGAAGCGAGGACCCTGCGGTTCGGTCTGTCTGAGGCGCCGTGTCTTGCCGCCTAAGCTCCATGCGACAGGTCTCGACTGGAGAGGGTTGCGGGCTCACGAGGGTGCGAGCTTGCCCGAGAGAGAGGACGGGGCTTCGAAGGACTGAGTCCCTTCCCCAGCAAGTGACTTGAGGATCACTACCAGGTCGTCAAGGAAACTTGGCGGGAGGCGTGGGAGGTAGTTTTGCGCCTGTGAGGCAAGCTTGTCCCCTACCGACATAAGAGTCTCCCCCTCCTTCACTCCTGCCAGCAAGGCCGTCGAGTGCTCCCTTCGTGGTAGCGCGAGCGGCATTGTTGCAGCCTTCAACCGCCATTTTGCAGCGTACCCCACTGAGGTGCAGAGGGTGCCACAATAGACGAAGCCGGTGTCTGCCACCCATACCAAAAAGTTGATCCCAAAAACCACAAACCAATGGTATGGGGTTTTTGTCCTCCTTGGCCGACCCTTAGGTCTTGGTACCAGGGGACAGGTCGTTTTCGGCTTCAAAGTCGATCGGATAAAAGCCCTGGAGCCATTCCCACAGAGCCTCAACGACTGGGCGCGAAGCCACGCCGCTGTCCTCGGGAGGGATAGCCGCTTCCGTCGCCTCGGGTTCGGTCATTCCCCAAAGAACCCACCCCCAGCTGGAAGTGGGTTCTGGCGCAGTTAAGTTTGCGGCCATGGCCACAGAAATCTGCAGAAAAACGCGCATGCCGCACTCCTACCTGCTAAGCCTAAGCTAAAGCTAGGGCGACTGTACAACCTACCTACCGTTGAGCCTACAGCGTGGTCAGTCAGAACCCTACGCACGCGGGCTGTACGAACGAAAATATTATCCGACTGTTCCTGGGTGGGGGCAGCACGCAAACTAAACCCCACATCCCGAACTCAAAACGCTAAACGCTGTTCGAGCAGCGGAACAATCCGAAACGCTGTCAGTTAAAGCATGTGGTAATAATTTAGAAAGCACCAAACCAAAAAACGGATGTTACCTTAGCCTCACTTACTCCCTTGGGAACTCCCCCGAAGATTGAGGCCCAAAGAGTGAGCAATTCCGCAATTTTATTTCGTAACGGCGCCCACCTGTACTTCGACATTCGTCTCTGAGTGCGAAACCTCGAACTTACAGTGGTGCTCCCAGCAGCTCCTAAGCGTGGCGATGTCACGCCACTGACCACATCTGATGGCAGCTATGTCAGTGGACCCCGTTCTCCCCAAAGTCTCCTCAAACACATCTGCATCTCCATCAGAAGTCACGGCGGTAATCCGGGTATCACCACTTATGGCGTTGTCACTGAAGGTAGCACAAAGCCGGAATTCGGTGGCAGCTGAAGGCTTGTAGAATTTGTGCCACTTCCCCGATCCCAGCGTTGCTTTGGTGTCCTGTGCCTGTTTGGTGGTTTTGGTGAAGCTCGAGTAGAGGTCATACCGGCTCAGGAACGTGGGTGTAGGCCCGTGGAATTGCTGGGTGCCGAACTCGAAGTAGACGCGGCCCAGTGAGGCTTCGCAGTGGGCAGACGAAAACTGAACGTAGCAGCTCTTTTTATTATGGTCGCACTGAAAGTTACTGAACTGAGTCAAAGACTTCCAAGTCCCACAGTGAACCGTCGCTTTCCCGTCCACGGCCGCGTGTTGCCAATTCTCAGGGACAGACAAAGCAGGGACAAAGGGAGATACTGGTAGACGGCGGGCTCAAGGCTCCAGGCAGGGAGGCAGTTTGGGCCCACATCGGTTCCTGCCTCCACCAGACCGAAGTCGAGGTACAGCCACATCCATGGTTGGGCGACACTGCCGCAATTGTAGACGGTGTAGGATGCGCACATCCGCGCCTCGGTGGCATCGGGATACAGCGCCGCAGGCTCAAGGATAAATTCGCTGGTTCCTGTCGTCCATCTGCGCATACCTTTCGCTTGTCTCCTTGTATCTCCCCAGAGAGGAACCGTCCCCTGCATGCGGTACTTCCATGCGACGTCCTGGGTGCCAAGCTCCAACCAGAGAGGACTCATCTGGACCTGTTCTCCACGGGAGTTGGTTGCCCAGGCAAGGTTCGAAAGAAATTTGTCGGGCAGGGCTTCGACCTTGCAATCTTTGGTCCCACTGTAGCAGTCGATGCCGGAGATGTCGTGCCAGCGATGGCATTCCACGTGCGCATGGTTCATATCTTCCAACCACCCAGTCTTGTCCACCCAATCCCTGAAGAAGGTTGACAGGCCTTCCCGGAGTCGAAGCGAGAAAGGGGTCACGGTCGAGTCCGTCTGCGTTCCACATAGCCGGATCTTCGTCGCATCGGGAGCCCAGTCCGAAGCCGTCGCGTCGAATCGAATGGGTTCCCAATTTAAGGCCTTCCATTGATCAATATCTCCTGTCGTCCAAGAGGCAGGCCTGGAAGCGACCTCGATCCGGCCGATGTTGAAGACTTCGCTTGCGGTGTCGAAGAGGTCGGAGAAGTCAACGCCACCCACACCCCCATGCCCGCTGCAATCGAGCAAGCCCGGGTTACCGTAAGTGCTGCGTGTCGATTGAATGAAACTGGTCCTGTGCATGCTTGCCAGCATGTTGGGCATGTTCCCCATGGGAATCTGCTGCGCTGGGTCTGTGGCGCAGGGCCGCTCCCTATAGCTGTAGAGATCAGCGCTGCGCGGCTCCATGACAAGGCTTCGCGGCGCACGAGGGCCTCGAGGGCCCGTCCAATCGACGACAACGGGGTCGGGTGCATTGCCCTCCTGGAGCTCCAGGCACTGATTGGGACCAAGGAGGAGTTGCCGGGAGCCACCGGAGGTCCCGCCGAACTGGGTCCTGAAGGTGGCGGGGCAAGAGCTCCTCGCCTCCATAACGGCCCTCCCATTCACAAACTCCAGGCAATGAACCTGACCAGGAAACCACTCAGGAACGGACAGAGTTACGTCCCCTTCCAAAGTCTTCAAGAAAGTGTCCCACCGCACCTGATTGGCTGCTGGAGCCAGCACGTCGGTAAAGAGTCTGAGCTTGACCCGCTGGAAGAACCAGAGCTCCTGTTGCTTGCGGTCGGCGGCCTCCTGATAACCCGAGGCGCCCACCTGCACGCATGCCTCGCATCTGAAGCGGCCGATACCCAGCTCGGGCTCCTGCACAAACAGCGGCTTCAACGCGTAAGCTACCCTGAGCCAAAAAAAGACGCGAGCTCTGCCCCTTTTCCCCTCCCCGTCAAAACGACACATCCCGAGTGCGGCTCCGGGATTCTGCTGAACCACTCCCCGTTGACGCAGTTCAGAATGAGCACGTCTCGTTTGTCAGAGCCTAGCATGCCAGAGTATCTCTCCGACCAGCAGCGGACTTCCAGAGTCTCCCCGTGGTCGAAAGTCTCGGGCAGGGGCATCTTGTGCGACCTCAGGCCCCAGGGGCAAAGTGCACTCCCACAGACAGCGACGGTCCGCAGTGCTCCACTGCTTCCCAGTGCTCTCTAAGTCTCTAAGTCCCTAGCCAGTCGTGGGAAGTGATGGATCGGTATGTCGGATTGCCACAAGCTTCGACACCACCGCCCCCGAGGAGACGGGCGATGTCGCAGTGGACATGAAGATCTTTCCACTGGAAGGACGACGTTCGAGTTCCGGATCCAGTCAAGTACTCCCGGCGGAAGGTCGTGGAGAAGCAAAGCTCAGGGGATGCCACCTGGAGGCAGCTGCAGGGCTTTCGTGGCTTCAGGTGCGAGAGTCTCTGAGATTCCTTGGGTCTGCATTTCGAGAGATGGCTTTTGGCTTTTGCAGGCTTTTGGCTTTTGCAGGCCCATGCAGGGCCTGGCAACTGAGATGACGCGGCATGGTCATCAGGGATCCCTCCAGGCCGATCTCGCGCAGGAGATGGCTACAGCCTGAATAGAGGCGGCAGGCGGAGACCTCCTGTTGAATACCATGCCAGAAGAAGGTGCAATCTGGATTCCTTGTCCCTGCACATTTTGCCTCACAGTTCGAAAAATCCGCGGCCTCCTCAGAGCCCTCGGTGTGGACTGTGATTAGCTGGTCGCTGGGGCAAGCAAACTGGCCTTCGACAAGTAGGAAGGGTTTGGGAATGAACTCGTTGCGAGAGCCGCTGGGCACTTTCTCGTGGGCCTCGGCGTCCACGGGCGGCTCCATGCCCCAAGCGTGTGGGGCACAATCACAAGGATGGAGCCAAAAGTCTTCGGCTTCAGGTGTGCTTGGATCATCCACAACCATGGGAGGGAGAGCCTCTTCCTCCGGGCTCTGGAGCACGGGCGCCGGGCAGCTCTTCACCCCCAAGGCGATCTGCTGCGACGAGGGGCCCAAGCACAGCAGTTTATCGCCTTGCAAGCTGACGGCTCCCGTCTTCTCATTGATGTAGTCCTCTTTCCCCGTACGACGAAGGATCCAATCGCCATTGTTGCATCCGGTTTCAGAGGAGTCCAAGGTGGAGGAGTACTTGGCGAGGAGCAGGGTCTCTTGTGGCGTCAGGCCCTCCTTCCGGTAGACCATGCCATTCCGAGACAGATCCGGAGCCACGGGGCAGTACAGGCCATTCTGATACCAATCCGCAGACGAGACTTCCATGCAAGTCGCCTCAGCAGTGCAGTTCGTCACTTTGGCAAATGCTGTAAATGTCTGATTGCCCACGAGATCGATGATCTGGCATTTTGGGTTGCCCGTGGCCGACCAGCTGTAGAGGGGATTGCCCACGTACTTCCGGGCTCCCTGGCGGCAATCGCCTTCGTTATCGTTGGTCGTCCAGAAAGCCCTGCCTGTCACGTTCTTCTCCACCCAGCAGATATTGTCCAAGATGTCAATGCGCAGTCGGCCGGAGCTGACCGACCCGAGCAAGTCATCGAAGAAGAGGCCCCAAACTTTGCATTCAAGCCCGATTTTCCGTCGAACTCCTGTGCTGGCATCGAAGTCGTGGGCTGGGTCCTCGAACAGCGACGCCAGCCCGGGATCGGGCGAGATGGAGATTGCACCTTGTGCGGTTTCCGTGTCATTCGGACGCACGTTGCCCCACCGCGGGCGGTGCTGCTTCTACAACCGGTTGGGGCTTTTCGGAGAGACTCTGGGTGTAAACAGGAGCCCCTGAATGTGAGCTGAAGCTTTCGTTTAAGAGGTTCATGATGCTCTGTCACCCCCCCCCCCCCCGCCCTGTTCAGATGCGACACCTACTGTGTCCCTGAGTTCGGCACCCGTCTCGGAAATCTCGAGTAATGGGTAGCCCTCCATCAGGCCAACGCCCAGCAGCGTGTCGAAAGTGAACTGCAAAGTGTTTGCAAGAGTTTGAGGCCACACCTCACAGCCCATCCTGAAGGTCGAGGGCTTCGTCGGCTTTGTGTTCGGGGAAGATGGGTAACTGACTTCCAGGGCCGGGAGGGTCTGCCCCAGCGTCACCTGGAGTTGGTTGAGGTTGTAGCTCATGCTCGTCACCGGATGGGGCCGCAGCGCAGCAAAGCTCACTTGCTGCTGCGTGAGGCCATGTGCGGTCTTGTGCCAGGCCGTCACCACGCAAATCCCACCGTCCTGTTCAGGCGCAGCAAAGGATCAAAGCGAAGAGAGGGACATGGAGGGAAAAGGAAGTTACTAAGGAGTGGGTCTAGGAAGCATCTATGCGGCGAATCTACGGTCTACTATAAGGGCGGTGAAGGCAGTGCCTGGGTGCCCGTCATGTCGTCGAGGCCTACGGCCCCTGCAGCAGTGAAGGTGGAAGCCGTGAGGTCGCCGGTTGCAGCGTTCACCTGTAGCCATGGCACTTGTGGGGCACAGGTCAGCTCGAAGTCCCACCAGCTGCCTGGTGCCTTTCGAATGGGATAGGTCGCCTGAGAGTTCGGGAACAAGAGGTAGGCCGACTCGTAAGCCAAGTAGTCCATCGAGATCTTCATGGTCGCCTCTGAGATCACTCCCACATCCTGGTGTGCGAAGATGGTGCACTCGATGCTGAAACTCTTGGAAGGTGCTTGGCGGTTGCTGGCAACCGAGACCGTGCCCGTCGACCCATCCAGCGTGAGGTTCCACTTGGACAGCTCGCAGGTCTCAGCCACGGAGTAGCTGCTGGCGGTCCGTGGCCGGGGTCCAGAATGTACCTTTTTGGGGGCTCTTCAAGGGAACGGGAACGCGGAATGCAGCCTCAAAAGCACCCCTGAACTGAACTACTGGAACAGGCGCCGGATCTCCGAAGGCATAGCTCTTCGCACGATACGCGAAAGGCGTGGGAGTGATGTGGCCGCCACCACATTTGCAACAGGCTTCCTTGCTGCTGAGCCCGCGGACGGCGACGTCACTGCAGCTGCTTGCGGAGAGCTGGGCGCAGGTGTCCCCAGACAACGACCGCCAGCCAGGCGAGTCTGCGCAGGCCACACAACGGCCCCCTCGCTTCAAGAAGCCCCCCACGCAGCTAGCGCAGCTGTCCACTGGGTCACAGCCGGCACAGTCCAAGTTGGACTCGGAGCAACAAGCCGAAGCACGACTCAGCAACCTGTTAGATCTGACTACGAACTCATTGGAGGCGCAGAGGGAGTTCCAGGGATCACCTGAATCCGTGGTCAGGTTGGCGCTGGATCGGATGGATGCCTTTGATGCCTTGGATGCCTCAACCAAGACGGGCAACCTGGCCGTGGACTTGCAGCCTTGGAACAAGGACGGATCGGTTTGCGATGCCACGTACGGGACCGTCCGTGCCTTAAGCTCCTCCTTGATCTTTTCCCCGATCTCCTCTCCAATCTCTCCGGTCTTGGCTCTCTTCTCGGTCTCCAAAGTCTGGAGCTTCTCCTCAATCTTCTCCATCTTCTGGAGGAGGCGTTCCTCCATGGACTCCAGCACGTGGGACTCGGAGCTGTAAGCCGCATTCGAGACCTTGTCCGAGGGCCCTGTGTGAAGCTGCAGCAGCTTGGACCCTGCGGCAGCCTCTGAGCCGGTGATGCGGGAAGAGCAGGTCTCCAAGCTTGGATCGGCTGAACCCGTGATGGGTGAAGCCATGGCCGCCATAGCCATCATCGCCATGGACAGCATGGCCATCCTGGTGGCCATCCTGGCCATCCGACGCGGTGGAAAGTTGTGCATCCACACAACCATCGGCACCATCGGTATAAGGGCGCTCCGTCTCCGTGAGATCACGGTGGCAAGAGCGAGAGGAGTGTTCCCTCAGCGTTATTTGATTCGGCGATCTCGAGCCAAGGGGGAAATTGCATGGCTCCTGTGCTTCAGTCGGCCCCTCACATGTGCTTCTGGCCACGATGCCTTTTCCTGGAACCTCGCTGGCGATCACGCTTTCCACACTGCATACTCTCTCGAGGCTTCTATGCTCCCAAAATCGTTCAGAGCTGGCGTTGGGCCCACGACGAATCACAAGCAGGAATCTGCAGCTGCACCGATGTCAGTTCCTCTCAGCTTGCAAATCCGGGCCTTGACCTCGGAGGCATCTCTTGGCACGATAAGCTTCTCAATGTCGGTGTGCCTTACAAATGACCCGCACAACACCCTAACATATCTCCAACGCGAAACCTGAGGTGGCCCTCGGGCGAAAATTCTGCCAACGTTTTGGTGGCAGCAATTGGGTTGCACGGCGCCCCCCCAGTGCTAGCAGAATCTATGGCAAAGAGCGCGTCATGTCCTGTCTCACCGGCTTGTGGAAGAAACACTGCGCCAAGGCCTCCCAAGAGTTGAAGCAACTCATGCAGCTCAGCCGCTAATCCGAGTGACTCGAGAAACAACCCTCTCCAAAGCACCAGAAGCCTCAAGCTACGCATCTTCTTCTTCCCCAAACCGGGTTCGTCCGCGGCAACACCAACAGACGCGACCATAAGCACGATGGAGCTGATATAGCTTGTCATGCTGTCAGCTTTCTCACCTCTTTAGCTGAGATGATATTTCCGCGCAACTCAGCTGCACGCTTGAAGCAACACACGGCTTTTCGGGCTTACACATCTGGCGCAGGAGAAGGCACGAACATGGCAGCCCGAACAGCCGGATTAAGCAGCGGCACAAGATGTACCAAAGGGCCTCCTTGGTGGCGCAGCTCTCTGCAAAGATGTCCTGACATGGCCACGGCAAGTCTCGACAAGTCTCAACTTCCCGGAACACTGCAAGAAAGAGGCTCTTCGGGTTTCGCATCGGTCAACTCATATAGTGACATGCCGTGTGCACCTGCTCACAGATGCAAGCACAACAGATTGCGAGACACCGAACCTTGAGGATGCCTCGGCACAGCAGGTTTCCCGGAAGGCACCTGAGTGGAAGCACGGAGCATCGAGATAACCAATCCAAGAAAGCTCCGCCTCCCATTGGGGCATCACGACAGGTGGTCTTCGGCTGCGCCTGTGTCGAGTGAGACACCGCGACACAGTTCGAGAATGTCCGAGGTTGCCAAATGCTTCTCAAGCTGCCCAGAACATCCACGCAGGTGCTGCGAGTTTGAAGGCGAAAGAATGACCTGAAAGCAGTATATGCATCGTGATGCATGTGGCCCTCCTGACGTAAGCCTGCGAAAGCGAAATGCTGCAAAGGACGAGGCCGTTGGGGTCGCATGCCGAATTCGGAGCCTCAGCAGCAACGCCCCACACAATGCCAACAACATAGTGGAACGCCTATATAGGCCCACGTGCTTGAGTCTAGAAGGCAGCAAGTCAACGGCGAGGGCAGGGAAGCTGATTCGGAAATGAGACGAATGAAGAATTGTGTAAAGCATAACCGAATGTGACGTAGATCTTCCCGTGAGTATGAATGTGAGAGAGAGAGGGAATGTGCGTGTGAGTGCACATCTGCACATCATGCCTCGGTCGGCAGCTGGAAGGAAAGCCGCCGAAAGGCCTCACAAGGCTCTCGGAATTCTCCTGGCAGGCCTGGCAAGGCGGCAAGCCCCATGCTGCCGTTGAGGCCGCTGGGCAACGGCACACAGGCAGGACCGTCAGGAGGCCTGAGGACAAGGCTAGGCCGGCTAGGCCCAGCAGGCGCGTCTTGTCTGCTCCTTTTGCTACCGCTCGTTTATTGGCATGCTTTGTTCACAAACCTGACCCTGAACCATCAACCCTGATTTACGCCTAGCTGTTTGGATGCTGTCTGGGCATTGCTTGGATGATAGATAAATGATCGAGGTGTTGCTCGCCTAACGTCTCAGCTGTACCCCGGCAAATCGGCTTCGTAAACGCGACGGTAGTGCCATGGTGCTGTCTCAGTGCCGTTTCATCCCGGATTTCTAGATCAATTTCTACTTCTGCTTTGGGCCAGAACGGGCGGATTTCGCCTTGACCTGATCTCAAAAACTCCTTCGAGCCGCGCTGCACGTTCGCTTTTCCCAACCGGTCGACATGTTCCCATCCAGCACAATCGAAGCATGGAGACGCAAACATGCCACGCGACGAGCATATGCCGAGCACTGGATGGCTGCAAAGCGCAAACGAAATAGTTGCATGACCATTATTTGTTGTTGTTTTTTCGCGGCTAGTTGCTCATGTCAAAGCGACGAGACATCCGCATGCCATGTCAAGAACATCGAAACTCTTCTTCAATGCATCGAAAGCCTCTGAACAGAGTACGACTTCACGCTGTGCTCCGTTTTCTCTCGGTCATCCTGAGGCAATGCCATCCAGGCACATCTCTAGTTGCAACTAAAAGCACTGACCCGAGAATGAACGACTGCACGTCGTTGCAGAGGTTTGTTGAACAAGTGCCTGCGTTCAACAAGCTTCTTAAGGCTTGCTGATGTGCACCTGCAGCGACAGCAGCCCTGGCAAGCTGCAAACCATCCGACTTCTGTCGCAAGGATATCATGTGCGGCTGCGCGTGGCTATAGCCTGATCGTTAGACTGAGTGCCAAACTCAAAGATTGTAGGCAACCCGAAAGATGCACTTGGTGCTCTTTCTCTCCACTAAAACTTGGAAAGCTGGCGCGGATTTGGCTCAGGGTAATTGTTGCAGTGCCCCTGCGGCCTCAGACCAGCAAGATCTCATCATCCTGATGGGACAACCGCACGCCTTCTTGCGCTTCACACTGATGGATTCGGCCAAGAGTACGAGTGCAAGAGGAAAAAGAGAGGCATGTTATTGTTGTTGCAAAAGCTTGTCAGATTGCGGCAACCGTACAAATTGTTTGTCTAATCTGGACACCACAGGGGGCCTGTCCTCAAACTAATCTTGGCACCACAGGGGGCTGCCGAAAATTGTGCAGGTACATGACTGAGCGTCCTCAATCACTTCCCTTCCAGTGACCTAGCTTCGTTGGATCAGGTCAGTCACTGGAAGCCTGATCCCCCTGCAACAGTTGATTTGGTAAATGTCCAATGTCGGATTATGTTGAAAAGCGAAATTGCAAACAGTGTAGGAGTGACCCTCTGCTCCCATGTGCTAGGGAGGTTCACACACACACAGCCCCAATGGGGCGTACATGCTTCAAGTAGAGTGAAAGGTCTGATGCACGGCAATAGGAATGAATGGCGCACTTTTCTCGCTGTCAATAGCGATCGGGTGATTGTCGTGTTTCCTGATCCGAACAGGTTCTAACAAAAAGCACCGGCATCAACGTGGCTAATGTGGTGACTGAATCCCAATCATGTAGTCGTCGTCGGTTTTGTTCGAAGAAGAAAGCTGGGATTTTAGGAGTTCTGCCGGTGATCTCCTTGATGCGGTAGGAGAAGATCTTGCGAGCTTGGAGAACGTTGTCGCCCATACAAAGCACCACGTGTAAGAACATGTGCTTGTCTCTGGTGATGCGGTCGGGTGGAATTTCAACAGTCATCCGAAAACATTGTCCTGCCATGGAGTACCATGGAAGGCCGGCCTCGGCAGCCTTTCGCTTTGTCATATTTTTGCTGCTACCAACCGACAAAAGCTTGAACAAGGAATGCAAATCAACATGGACATGATGTGTGCTCTGGCAAAACAACAAAGCGGTGTCGTCCTGACACTCGCATGCGCAGGCTTTTTTGTCACGCTTAGCGGATCTTGCAGCCCTAATCCGTCCTGAGAATTAGGGTCCAACAGCAAGTTTGTTGGGACAGTCACTCATGATCTTGAAATGGCAGCGACACCTGAATCCTGCACGTACCAGCATTTTTGCACAAGCGGTTTTGGACCGCTTGTGCTGAATAGTAGGATGCACAATATCGTAAGGTGCAATCGAGTCAGAAGACCAAGGATCTCGAGATGGAGACCGGTGTGGGTCCTCAGCCATGTGTGACGTTGCCGTAGGTGACGCTGATGATGTTGAATGCGAAGAGCGTGTCCTCTTTCGTCTTGTAGTATGTGGATGTTGGCGTCGTTGCTGTGTTGTGGATTGGGATGGTGGTGAGATGTTGCGTGTTTTCTTTGTTTTCATGACTGTTTTGTCCTTTTTGTCTTTGTTGTCTTTCTTCTTTTTTGTCCTCGTTGTGTGCTTTGTTTTTTGCTTGTGTGTGTGACTGACTGCATGGGAGGATCTGGTGGTGTCATCCTTCCTCAAGAAGGCATCAATCTCTTCGGATCCCCATAGGCTGCTGTCGTCGTCCTCGTCCATCTGTGTGCGATCCTAATGTGTTTCAGCAACTGTAGTTCTGAGAAATGGCTGCGGAGTCACAACTGCATTGAGGCATGTGCATACGCTGATCTTCAGAAGAGAGAGAAAGGTACACAGAGACATCAATTGATTAACCGCGCAGACCTGTATGACCTTTCGACATGATGCTCTTAATGTTGAACCTCATCAGATATGATGGATTTCGTAGCACAGCTTTGCTGTGTGGTTGTTGGCTGCCGGGGGCAGCAAATGTGCATCTAATTGTCAACTCAGCAATGCTGCTCACGGAGTTCTTGATCGCTTTCGCTTGTTGGATGTAGGAGTTGATGTAGTAGATACTGTCTCCTTTTGGGTAGGAGTCGTTGATGTCGGACGCTGATCAGGTTGCTCCGAATGCTTTCGTATCCACTCTTGAGATGCGATAAAGTACTCACGCCACCATGAAGAGCCGTTAGTGGCCCAATGCCATCTCCATTGTGATGCCGTCGGAGATCGCGATCTGGTGCGTTGTTCCATGGTGCTAACACAACTGGTTGTTTTTCAAAATGCTGCGGGAAAGAGTGCATCAATCGCTGCATACCTAACATATGTGAAGTGAGTGCACTGACTGTAACAATTGGCAAAAACGACTATCATTGTTTTCACCGTCCGCTGCAAAGCGCCCGATGACGGTATGAACATGGTTGATCACCTATTGTTGCAAAGCTTCGAGTCGTTCCACTCGTTGCTTTAGCTCTGTGATCTGCCGGGTTGTTTGCAGAATAAACTCGGCTAATTGGTCGCGTAGAGCCCCGTCACTGAATGTGGAAGGTTCGCTTCCAGTTTCTGAATCATAGTCCCGATGCTGTGTCAAAATCTCCATGAGGGCCTCAGAGAGAGCTTCACGTCGTGCCTCATCGATGGGTGGCGAATCTGTAGTCGCTGTGTTTGTCGGAAGAGATGCTTCGCTCATGGCTCTATGTCGGGATTCCAATAGGTGTCACTCTGAGGCATAAAACTTCAGAAGGCAAAGTTATGGTGCGTATCCGAAAGCAACATGTGTTCAAATGCAAGAGGTGTGCACTACCTGGCTCTTTTTATACCAGCGGATTCAGCAGCACATTCAGGACCAGTCTGGCGTGTTTTGCCTCATAAGGCTCTCGAGAATATCAAGTTGTTGTTTGCACGATGCCATAATGGCAGTGGTGGCTTCGTGTTGAGTAGTCAACACCGTTGTGGCCTGCTGTATCAAGCGTTCCAGCTTGGAATTCGATTCAAGCAACGAATTGTGAAACTGTGTTAGTAACTCAATAATCTCAGCCGATGAATCTGGACCAGAATGAGGCGGAGGTGGAAATGGTGGAGTCGCCGGTGCAGCCACTGCTGCGTCCTGCTGTTCTTGCGGATCTTGGTGTTGCTCTTGGTAATCTTGGAAATCTTCGTCTTCTGCAACACGTAGAAACTGAGAGCGTAAAGGCGCCGGCTGTTGACTGTGGCTGCCAACCGCAGGCTGCTGGTTGTGGCGTCTGCTATGTTTGGAGATGGATGGCCGAGGACGGCCGCTCAGCGCTTTGTGGCTCGGCTGCAATCTGCCAGTCATGGCACTTTTATACATGATGATGCCTCAGTTAATCCCTGTAAATGGCTGCGGGAAACACTGTGTTGGTACAAGGCGTCTCACATGTTGCAAAGTTGCATGACTCTGGACGCACGCACTGCAACTTGGCACAGTGTTTTTGCTTACAGCTGTTGATCAGTATAGCCGGCAGCGATGTACAGATCGCGCATGGCTCGAATGGCTGATGTGGCCTCGCTGCATGGTGTTGTCACTCTGCGCACCATGCGTGTGCGGGCCTGAAAACTGCTGCGAAGTGTTGCAACAGAGGTCGCCGACTGTGGGTGTAAAATATCCGCCTTGTGCAAAGTGCAGTGATGCGTAAGGCTGCTGTGCTGAGGGTTTATGGCGAAACCCAGGAAAATGTTGGCCGGTTCAGTTTCAAGCTGAACCGGTGGTTTGTAGAAAGATGCGTCAGTAAGCTGTGCAAAAGGAGGCAGTCGGGTCAGCTGTGCAGGCAAAAGAAGGACGCGGTTGTCGACGTATCTGGTAGCAAAAAAGTAAGCTTGATCCTGCTTGTTGTGGTCCGGAAAATGCTTGTGGTTCGTGAAAAGTTGTTTGTATGTGTGGTGCCAACACTGCTCTTCTACAGCAACCACGATGTTGCATAAAGCTGGGCTGCAGGGCGAGCCCATAGGTGCTCCACGAAATTGCTCAATGAGTGATGTACCGACAGTGAAATAGTTGAGCCTGAGCACTGCAATGATGAGTTGTGGTATGTGTTGTAATTGTATGCAAAGTTTGTTGCCGGAGGAGGCTTCCTGCTGCTTTTGTCTGCTTTTACCTCTGTGGACTCGATGTGTGGGGTCTTTCTGTGAGTGGTCAATGAAGAATTTGGAAGAGTGTAGTGGGTTCTTCTCTCTGTACCATCGAACCATGATGCTGTATGCTGAAAGAAACCGGCTTTGATCGACCGATGTAAAGAAGCCAGCCAAATCCTGATTGTACAGGATGTAATCTGTTGAATCGTGTAGTTTCCTGCGCTGATGCAAGAAGAGCGCTGTTTGTTTGAGCTGTGTTATCCCGTCTCCTTGGTGAAAGGAGTTTGGGCATGCTTGAAAGGTCATCAGCTGCAGTACGTCTGCTAAGGCTTCCCATAATTTCCTGCCCATGGTGTCGATGAACGCCACTATAGGACGTCCTTTCGTGAATTGCTTCTTTCTTTTCGGTAAAATGTATGCACGTGGGATGCGTCCCCATTGTGGAAACGCCCATGTGTAAGCTGGTAGAAGGCTGCGGATGTCTGTGTAGATATCGAAGTGGTGTTGTAGAGGTTGGCGCTGCGAGATCCGAAAGATCTCTTTGTCTAAAAAAGTGTTGTGTATGGCAGTGTGGTATAGTGCTGGGCAGTACCACGTGAGTCGGTTCGGGAAGTGATCTTCGCAATGGATGATGCCCGTTGGTATTTTGTGTTGGACTTGCTTGATCATCTTGACCTGTAGTATGTTGTTTTGAATGCAGTGTGTATTGTGTTGTGGTATTTGTTCAGAGACAAACTGCTTTGCAGTTTGATGGTTGTAAGGTAGTCCATAGTGTCGGTGCCATGTGCGTATGGCTCGGCATAATTGTGACGCCAACTGTGTGGGCTTCTGAAGGCAATTGCTTTTGCCGGAGTATGCCAAAAACTGGTGTTGTGGTTGTAGTTCTGCAAGTTGGATAGCAATGTGATTGTGGAAAATGTGCTCCTGGGGTACTTGTGACTGTAATGGTGAGCATGTACAGGGTGGTGGTGTATCAGGTTGCCATGTGGTGTGGGCATCGCGCCAATTGTGTAGGAGTTGTTGCATGGGTGGGTGCTTCTTGTAGACCGGTTTTGTGCTGGGTAGGTGGAATGGTGGAATGTGTTGTTTGTTGCTTGTTAAACGAGAGC